CTGGGCCCCTTGTCTCAGCCTGTCCCTGGGCCCCGTCACTGTCCAGCCAGCTCCGCGAGCCCCCCACAGCGCGCATGGCCCGTGGTCGGCGGGCGCTGGGCTCTGGGCCCGGACGGTGCCTACCTTCCATGAAGAGCCCGTACACGTAGGAGCCCTCTCGTGGGGGCGCGGTCACGTCCTCCCGGTTCTTCTTGGTCACCTCCACCGAGAGGCACATCTTGTCCAGCGGCCACTCGTTCTTCCTGGCCATGGACTGCATGATGGCCGTGAGGAAGGACTGGGGGTTGAAGAAGCCAGCCAGCCACACGGTGGTGGGCAGGGCGAAGTCCGTGGTCCAGGCCTCCAGCTCCTGCGAGGAGAGGGGTCTCAGCCGAGCGCCAAGGCCTCACGGCAGATGGTTCAGCCGCTGCCGCCCGTGTCACCGCTCTCCTGTCGCCCCGTCTTGAGGGGTGGGGACAGTAGGGCCATGAAGGGAGAATTGGGGACCCAGCAGAGGCCTTGCTTCCGTCACCTGAGCCGCGGTGGCGGGAGCTTCCTCCATGCCCAGGAGGCAGCTGTTCTCCTTCCCCAGGAGGAAGGGCCTGCGTTGTCGGCATCTGTGGGCATGGGCACACCCTCCCGACCCTGCTCTGACGAAGGCCAGGCCCGCGGGCCCGCAGGCCTCAGGACACACCCCCTTGCAGCGTGCTCCCACGGGCTCTGGGAACGGGGGTGCACTGAGGCCAGGGACCCCATCCTCACCCTGATGCGGAGCAGCAGGTCCGTGTACCAGGCTGCCAGGCCCATCATGGACGGGTAGGCCCGGGCCATCCACGTTTCGGGCACCGTGTCGTAAAATAGCGCCGTGGACAGATCTTCCATGTCTGTCGTGATGGTCAGTTCCCCCTGAGGGACAGACAGACGTGGGTGCTGGGGGCCCAGGCTGGGCCACGCGGTGCAACGCAGACCCGGCCAGTCGTGGGCCTTGCTCTGGCCAAGGCGGGAGAGCCCCGCCCATGTGTGTCGTGGGAACGTGGTTTCCCACGGGGTGTGGGCCACCGGGTGCTTCTGCAGATGCCCGTGGGGGCCACGTCATGCCTCCTGCTGGGAACAGTCAGGATGCCCTCCAGGGCCGGTTCTGGTCGCCCACAGCTCCGACCAGGGAATTCGGGGGCCAGCGCCAGGGGCCCGAGGCGCCCCGTGGCCTGGGGTAGGTGGTTCTTTGCAGTTGAGGTCATTAGTCAGCCTGGGGGGCCAGCCCGATTCCCGCGTCACATCCGGGCCCAGCTGACCCATCTTCCCTTTACCTTCAGCCCCAAGTTGAGCTCCTTGAGCGAGCGGCGCATCTCGTTGGTCAGGATGTTCATGCGCTCGCACTCCTGGAAGGCCACCACCACGTAGGGCGTCTTCTCGGCCGCCTTCGCCATGATCTCGGCCATGTTGAATGACTCCGGGATCTTCTCCAGGATCTCGTCCAGCACGGCCTTCACCTGGG